ACACAGACATGGAGAACATGGACACAGACATGGAGAACACCGCTTTGAAATTTCAGGATCAGAACTTCACGCTCCAAGGATTCTGATTGTTGAAGTTCGTCTTTGAGCCATTTACTATTTCAGAATCTCACTAAATCTGGATTTTGAATAAAGTTATTTTTGCAAGATATATGTTCTTTTATTTTTTTAAACTTACTCTGCTGCTTTTTTCTGGCACAACTCTTCCGTCCATCTCCCACATCGATCTTCCATCTGAGGGATGAAAAACACTTTTAACACTTGTCATTCAGGTAAAAGACCAAACTCAACGTGAACTAGATCTGGTGTTAATGTAAATTAAAAGAAGCTCAGCTGATCTCACCGTGACCTTTCTCCATGAACACAACCCTGGACTGAGCAGAGACGTTGGACCCGATGATGAGCAGCTCCTCGCCTCCATCCACAGAGCAGCCGGCTGGACTGAAGCTTTCCACCTGAGGAATCTCCTGACCCGAGCGCTGGGCTGAAACAACAGTTTTTGTTGAGGTGAATAGATGTGAGATGTGTCATTGTTCTCACTCAACTCGATCTGCGTTGATCAACCTTCAGGTGATATCTCCGTGAACTCCTCCCTCTGCCTGTTCTTTTACAATTTGGTTTTAAAGTAATGAAACACCTCTAATGTTGTGCGTCTGTTGACTGTAACGCACCGTTCAGATCAGACATAACGTCATGTGTTCATATTACAGGCGACTCACAACACTCCACAGGATTAGAAGCCGTCTGTAGCCACAGCATCCGGCCGTCTGGCTGAGGGAGGGCAACCCTCAACACGACTCGCACCCTCGTGTTCTTACGCCCGATATCCGTCTCTCCTTTCTTCAGCTCGATGTCGGCATTGCGCAGCTTCAGGATGCCGGCGCAGTCGATGCTGTGGAACAATGAAGCAAAAGATGTGTTGAAATGATCTGAAAACTAAAGAACAATTTCAGAATAATGAGCAGCCCGGAAACATCTTTGGGATTCATAGCGTCGTGTCATCGGTGAAGAGACGAAATAAGATATCATGACTCAGATACAGTATTTATGAAGAAAATGCTCACGGTGGTTCTCTACAACTGAACTTGATCAATCAAGTTCATTTATGTTCACTGGTGTTGAAGAGCTCAAGTCAAGAAAAACCAGAAACAAACATCTGCACTGACGTTTTAATTTATAATTTATGATAATTTATTCAATAACTCTTTGAACTGAACTGCAACAACTGTGTTAAAACATTTTTAGATGCTGCTGTTACTAGTGCGATTCTATCGGAGCAGGGCGACACTGACTAACTCTGATTTTAGTTCCTGAAAACTCAACCACGACACCAAATGCAAGTCTAACACCGTTTCCCCTCTCACCTTGCCGACATGTTGTTTTCTGGAAGCAGAGGGATCTCCAGGACTTTGTTGTAACCCATGGTTTTCTCCTGGCAGGTGGTAGTGACCGTTTTCCCCGTCACTCGGTGGACCTGGTAGAAGGAATGCGGGCGAAGGTAGCGGTCGTCTGCGGTGCCGATGAACAACAGCATGCTGACCGGCTGCTCGCTGTATCCGTTCAACTGCAGACGGGAGCACAGAGATATAACAGCTGGTCCACAGTTATGTCATGATAACAAATTTTGTTGGACGACATATTGTCCCAGGAATTATTATGAGACCATTTTATTCCACTGATATAATGATAATAAAGGTACAACCTATATTATAGCATAATAATGCAGGTACATCGAGTCAAAGAGCAATGGATATCCTAAATAAATAAAACATGAACACCACAAAAACAAACGGACTCTCTGGCTTCGTTAAGAAAATGAGCTATTGAATAAATATGGAACATTTGACGCAGGGTGTGAATGTTTGTGGGTTTGATTGTATTAGTTTAATATTATTAACAGTGTTTCTGGACAGATGAAGAAACGTCTGACGGTGAGGGTTCGCCCTGTGGCCACCAGTACGATCTCCAGTTTCCTGTGTGACCCAGCAGCTCTCACTTGTCCTTGTCTCGACACTGAGCGCTGTGCGGTTTCACACATCTCGCAGAAAGAAGCTCCTCTGGCTTCAGCAGCAGCCAGACAATGTGACACCCAGAATAACCCTGCTGGTGTATGTTACATATGAGGCCTTGATGGAGCTTTACGTGTCTCGTCCTGCCTCTGCTCTCTGATCCAGAGCTGTTGTTAAATATAAAGTGTTTAAATATAAAGGGTCTTTTCTGGGGTAAAGAAAACTACAATTCATATAATTTAGATGAAACAAACTAGTGAAAACATCATGAGGATTATTCATCATTAAATTTCTCTCACCTGAATCTTACACACTGGACCTTTAAATGTACATTTTGGTGCAGATCCAAAATCAAATCTGGATCTAGCTGATTTAAATGTGGCTTCATAAGGGGACTGTTGGAACTTGCCACAGGTATTGTAGTTTTACTTAGTTCAACTGTGAAGAGTCAAAGTGAGGAACTCATTTATGCTTGCTGCGTAGTAGAGGATTTACAAATCTTCACTGATGGAAACCACAGATGATCAAGCCGACACGCATGAGCACAAACAATTTCAAACTCCCAGAAACTCACGTGATCAAACACGACTTCAGAATAAAAACAAAAATGGAAGCAGACTGTCGGGAAGCAATAATGCTGTTGACATTCTTCCACTATCAGTTTGTCCACCAGGTAGGAAACAAAAGTCTTGTTTAAGCTGCAGCCAAGTTTTGCTTCTAACCACAAGAGCCTAACTTCTGGTCGGTGACACTTCCTGATCAGCTCGCTCTTACTGGCTGTTGTGAGTTTCTGCTCATTCACACAATCGCTGCTCCTTCCATCGACACGACTACTACAAGTCTGTAACCCGTCACCCGACAGGATCAAGTGACCAGATAATCTGTTTAGATCAGCCTCCGATCGGCAGCGAGGGTGAATCAGAACTGAAATCAAGCTGATAATCATTAGAGGCTCGGACTCACCTTGACGACAGGGTGTCCTCCAGTAGATGCTTTGATGGAGCCTCTGCTGCCCTCCGTCTCATAATGTGCCCTGTGGTACGACTTGGGCTGGAGCTCCAGCCTCAGCTCACACTGGTCGTACTGACACGGCAGAGGCCAGTCCAGAGGCGGGGGGGACGAGGTCCTGGACGTGACACAACACACACACACACAGTGATCAGACACTGTAGGACGCCATGTCTGCATCACTACAGTGAGAGGACGTTTTAAAGAAGACACTGCAGGTCAGACCGACGCTTCTGAAGAAGGTTGACACAGACTTTCTGTAGATGTGAAGCCACGTCGAGCCTTTTCCATCGTGGTTTTCTGGTTGATCGTGTTTCGGACTGTGTCTTGGCTGAGGTGTGTGACCAAAGACAAGAAACAGTCCTACAGACAGTAACCCCCCCCCCCCCCCCCGTGAGTCAAAAGATTTCAAAACATTTACCAAAATGTCAAGACCTTTACAAAGTGACAGCAAAGCCAACCTGAACAGTGGAGGGTTTCCAGGTTTAGGTTTGTTCCAGCTGAAGTGGGAGGGCACCTGAAGGAAGAGCTCAGCCAGGCCATCGTGTTCTTGTGCCTCGTCCGTGGGAGAATCCTGGAACAGTTCCAACCCTGGGTCCCCCTGACCGGGGAGGAGTCCCAGCTGGCTTCCTGATGTCCTCCTGGTCTTAGAGGGGACGTCCAGCTCCTGGTAGCCGGACATCAGAAGGGACCCGAGGGCCCCGGCGGGGCTTCCTACCCACGTTTCATCTGTCACACTGTCCCGAGGGGAGGCGCTCGGTGAGGGACTGGGTGAGTGGTGAGGGGAGGGTGAGCGGGCACGGATGCGAGGGTCAGCGCTGGTGTGGCGTCTCTTGCCACAGGGAGAGGTTGGTCTGGATGACGGCCTGCAAGAAAAATCACTATGAGCAAGATTTGTACCAGTTCCCTGTTTGTGAAATTATTCACAAACATTATTACAAGTAAACATGCTCTACATGTCATATGCACATTTATTTATGTTTATGACAAATAACTCTTTGAGTGGGAGTAGCCCTGAAGCTGCACTAAAATCAAAACAAGATGGGCTGGGAGTGTGTGACCATAATGCACTGAGGAGAAGGAGGACACCATGTGTTCACACATCGTGATGGTTCGTACCTGGACGTGGGTCGGCGGTTCAGCCAGCTCTCCTCTGTGATGCTGGTGCGAGGCGAGTGGCAGGGCGACTGACGGGGCGACTGATGGGGCGACAGTGACGGGCTGAAAGCTCCAGGATGTTGATATTTCTGTTGCCATAACTCCACCCCAAAGGCCCCACCCCCACAGCCCGGCGAGCCCAGAGGTGACCCGAGTGGGGATCCCATGGCAAGGCGGGCGGCATCTCCAAGATCCCCCTCCACATCATCGTAGATGTGGGAGAAGGACTCGCAGGAGGAGAGGTCCGACATCCAGCTCCTGGAAGACATGCTGCTGCAAGGGCTCTGGCAGAGTGCCGGGTCCCGGTAGCAGGGGTCCAGGGGCAAGTACAGCTGGTCTCTGGACCACGGTGCCTCAGGGTAGCCTCCCTCTGCTCCACCCACTGCCAATGCTTCTTGTCCAGAGCTGGGCTCCACATGGCTGTTGGGAGCTATAGAGGTGATCTGGATACTCGGGCAGTCGAAGGCTCTGGGGTTACCCTGGGCTCCATACTGGGGCCCCTGGGAATGGCAGCCAACATGCTGGTAGTTCTCTAAGGTGGAGTAATACAGCGGGTGACTCTGCAGCTCCTGAATCACGGGCTGCTCGGCCAGAGCCAGCGTAGAGGAGGGAGGCAACCTCACATCTGGACCTGTGAGGACGAGATGATTCAACATGTACATCATCGGGTTTTAGTGCACAAAACAAACTGTATCACAAATAATTATGTTTTCTTCTTTTTCTCTGATTCATATTTTTGGTGCTAAACGTTCTCAAACATGGCAGATGCCACGGAAAACTGGAGGACAGCCATTTTGAATGTATTGGTTGTTTTTTGTACATTAATTAATTAATATAATAAAGAAATATCACGCACCAGGTGCTTTACATGAACGTGACACTGTGCAGTGTGGCTGCGATGTTGTATATTTAGGATTTTGTCTGTGCACGTACAGCACATTTACAGTCGAGTGTCAAATATTTAACCAGCAGCAGCTGAGCCACAGTCAGTGTTCATGCACTGGACTAATCATAGTGACAGATCCTCTACAACAGTTCGATAAGTTCAGTCCCACAGCTGCACACAGCCCTCACCACAGCACTACTATTAATACCCCTCTTTGTCACACACACACACAAAGAAGGCGACCAAACGCTAACTGTGATCTGCTTCAACAGCTCCACTCGCTGCCTCGTTTCAAACCCCCCCCCCACCCAGCAGCTGGGTGCCACAGAGCAGTTAGAAAACCAGGAAGTAAAACCAGCAGATGAGTTGAGTGGGACCAGGTCTGTGTGTAAAAATCCTGAGATAGAACCAACCTGCACACGTCTACACTGCATCAGATCATGTTGGTTCATTTTATTAACACAAAAAAGGAGGATTCATCTGTTTTGATCAACCAGGAACTGAATAACGATTCATTTGGATTTAAGCGTTAACACTGACGTTGAATGAGTGAACTCTATTAATGTTCTAGTTATAATTTAAATATATTTGTGTCTGCTGAGCAAAACATTCTCATATTAAATTATTTTAAAGACCAAACGATGATGTTGAGCTTAATTCATAATAAGAATAATGGCAATTGCAACCAAAGCCCAGAAATTCTTCAAGAAAGCTTCATCTGATTAATGTAACTGACAAAAGGATCTATGATAAAACATAAACCAGATAACAGTCACTGTGTGATGGAGCCTCTCAGCATTAACAGCTGGTAGAAGGTTTTCTGTGAGTTCAGACATTAGATTTAAAACATGAATCAAAAGGCTCTGATCAATAATCAATAAGACTGATCAGTCTCTGTACTGTTCACTTGTTCCGCTGGAGGAAGATTTACAAACTTCTTCTCTTCTACATTTTAACAGTTCTCCAAATGAACACTCGACAGCTGGGTGTGTCAGCTCAACAAAATAAGACACAGCTTCCGGGGATCGTTTTCAAAGTAAAATACCATTTGAAGTGTTGAGCACAAAAGGAAATGGCACTTTTATATAGGTGAGCCCCACAGTGTGCAAATATGGATGTCCAGAATTAAATCTGGTGTTAAGGTCCCGCTGATACACACCCTCGACCAATCAGGACTCAGTCTCAGCTGTCGATTACGTCGTCTTAGCTCATTCAAATAAAATCAATTAACCAATTAAACCTGAACTGAATCAGAAACACTTGAACAATCGTCAGTGTGACAACAACGACCTGAAATGACAGAAACCATCTTTGACAAACATTTTCAGTTCGGTCCATGTCCCATCTCCTAACATGGAGGAGGCTGGTTTATGATCTATACTGCAGCCAGCCACCGGGGGCGATAGAGACGTCTTGGCTTCAGTTTTGGGAGGAGACAGGAAGTCCATGTTTGTTCACAGAAACTATCTGATATCTACTGATGACTAAATTAAAATCTGATTAACAACAGGAAGTGGACGTGAGAATAAAATTCACTATTTCCGCTCAATTTCCTGCAGTTTCCCGCTCTGTGGTTTTACTTTGAAGACCGCAAGGCTCTACTTCCGGTAGTACTCATGCTAACTGTGGTTAGCTTAGCTCTGTTGACAGCTTGCTAACTAGCGTCGGAGAAACGACACGTACCTGCGGAGGAGGCTCGTCCCGCGGAGGAGGCTCGTCCCGCGGAGGAGGCTCGTCCCGCGGAGGACACACGTCCCCCGGAGGAGGCTCGTCCCCCGGAGTCCTCCTCGAAGCTCAGCCTGAAGTCCAGCTCCTCCATGGGACACACACACACACCGAGACCGAGCGGACTGTGACCGAGCTGAGCGGCTCTAACCCGGCCCCGTGTCACTCAGGGTCCCGCTCCCATCGAAGCGGCAGCAGAAGAGTGAACCGAACAAGGAGAACCGGCTGCGGACTACGCCCGGGCGGAGCGGCGCGGCTCCCCCGGCCTCCTGCTCCTCTCCGTCGCCTCCATGTTGAACTTTGTTCGTCTCAACTTCTCGTTTCTCTCTCCTCAGGTTGATCCGCACGACGCCTTCAGGGACACCCCGGAATCTCTGGCACGCTCTACAGCGACACCAGGAAATTAAGTACACACTCGAAGTTTTAAAAAGTTTGTTTTGCTTTCTACTCTGTTCAGTGAGTCTGACACCAGGGGACTACGTTCACACATTAGGTTTTATATAGTTAATGCTACTGTCTGCTATATTTCTACTATCATTTCATTCTACACCCTGTTCGATGACAATAAAAGAATTCTTCTTCTTCTTCTTAAATGTGTCTGATACCAGGGAATTAAATATACACTTACAAAGATTTAAATTGTTTATGCTACTATCTACTGACTTCAATGAATCTGACATTATACTCTCTCACAATACTCTCGATTTATTTATAGTATATTTTTCTTATTATAGTTTTCTATATTTATATCATCACTTTGGATAAAGGATAAAGAGAACTATTGCTTTATCAAAAATAAAAAGTCCACAATTAGTGGACACACATGAGACAGCAGTCAGTCAAGTGATAAATTATATAATTAAGTTATTTCTCAAATACGACGTGTGTTTTATTTGACTGTTGTCACTTCATTTTTCTGCATGACATCCATTTTTATTGAGCATCACTTTTTACACCAGGATGTGTTGAAAGTTTGATTAAAAACTAAATAAATAGCTCATAAACGTCTTGAAACAGAGCGACAGCAACAACCCTTCATCATGAGTGCTGTACTTCCCACAGTGGCCGCGAAGGCACCGTTAGCCAGCCCGGGGATGACGTCAGAGCTGGGTGTGTCCCTCTCAGGTTCAGTTCAGGACTTAAAGATTAATTAACCTCGAGTTAATTGATCCGTTTATCTGCGTCCACACTGACCTGGAGGAGCCTGAAGGCAACATGCGCTTCACATCAGCTTCAGGAGACAAAATAAAAACACTGAGATTTTAAAAAGCAGCTTCTTCTTTCAAATGAAACCAACAAAGTGGAAGATACAGATTTGTTTCACCGTCAATGAAATAAAAAAAAAATACACAGAGGAGGATTAAATAAAAACATTCGGCCCCTCGGGTCTGCTCCACGGGATGTTCACTGCATGTTCACTACATTTAGAGTCTTTTAAACCAACGTCAGTCGTTTCCAGCAGAAACTCGAGGATTAAAGCTTCAGTGTGTGAGTGTGAGAGGATCTATGAGCAGAAGCTGAATATGAAATCATCCCTGTGATGTTTTCACTCGTGTGTTTCATCTAAGTCGCATGAATTGTAGTTTTCTTGACCATAGAACGGATCTATACATTTTAACACTTTATATTTACATGGAGGCTGAACGTTTAAATCAGGAGACGGAAGATGAACCATCAGAATTAAAAAATAGAACTTTCTCTTTAAGGCACCAGGTTCAAACCCAAACCTCTGAGATGATGACGACGACACCTGAGAGCTCAGTGCTGCCACCCGTCTGGCTACAGATCAGGGTGTGTTCAGGCTCAAACTCATTTCATGAAAGTCAAAATGAGTGAATCTCTCACAGCTGATCCGGTGTGAGACAGTTTTCACTGAGCACATCTCAGAGTTCACAAATGAAAACTGCTTTAAATCAAGTAAAAAAAAAAAAACTAAGCTAAATCCGTTCATGTAACGAATCGAGCAGCTGATTTCAATTTAGTTTTAAGCTTGAAGACGTCACAGATGTTCCTGACAGGAAGTGATGTAAGGAAAACGAACCACTGTCCTTACAAACACTCTACAGCTGCTCTGGAGTCGTCTCTGCTTTACAACGGTCACCATTGGCCACCGCCGGAGTCTTTGAGGTTTCCGTTTCCTGCTGGTTCTCGGTTGAAAGGTGTCGTTTCTTGCTTCTTTCTTGCTCCGCTGTGCCGTTCGTCTTCCCGTCCCTCTTCCTCTTGCAGACCAGGCCGGACTCCTCCTCGCCCAAGCGACCCTCTGGGATCCCCAGAACTCGCAGGCAGACGACGGCAGCCGCCTGCTCTGCAAACTTCTTCGACTTCTCCCTGGAAATAAGATAAAGGGTTCACATGAAATGAAAGTAGCCGTAGTTTCATAATTTAGGATAAATAAACATGTTTTTCTACAAAGCCAAACATTAATGGAGACATTCTGTTGATTCTGAGTCATGACTGTAAAATGTTTTCATGCTTTAATGTTCAGAAAACACTGTCCTCAGAAAGTCCATCGCTGCAGCTCCTCTTTTCAGCCTCTGTCTCAAACACCTGGGTCGAGCTCCCGTCTCTTTAAGAAAACTGAGGTTGTGTTTCAGTCTGGACTTTTGTCAACGATGACACAACAGCAACACCCGAGAACATCCCTGCTCACTGCTGACGTGTACGTAAATGGTCATGTGACGTGTTTTCAAGTGTGTTTGTCTGTGTGTGTGTGTGTGTGTGTGTGTGTGTACTGACCACAGTGAAGATCTGTATTTCTTTCCTGCTACAGTCACAGTCGACTGAAAGCCTCGATCCTGTGAACGCTGCACCTGAAAACACACACACACACAGTGACACAGTTGCTTATCACACTTATCGACTGTGGTTTATTTATAAGTTTCCTGTTTGCAGTTTCAACACTAAACGTCAGCTGTCTTTTGTTTCCAGTTTGTTAAGAACACCCGGATCCAATGAATTCAGTCAAAAACAACAGTGCTGCATAAAATGTGAACTTTGTGAAAGTTAAAATGTTTAGTTTTTGTTGAACCTGGTCGAGAGTGAAGTGTTTTATTGTTTAATGTTAAAACTTTATTTGTTCCTGTTCCTGAACGTACCATATCGTACAGCGGTTGCTCCACTTTCTCTTTGCGGCTCCACTCCAGCAGGAACATCTTGGGAGTGATCTGAGGTGGATACTCCCTCCTGCAACAAAAACAAGTCACGTGATCCTAAAGCCTTCACAGGTTTCCTGTTTAAGAAAAATAAGGAAAGAAATTAACTGCTCATCCATCAGGTTCAAATCTGAGGAAAGATTGTTTTAATTAGCGAGCTTGTGAAGTTACGGCGTTCTTGAGATATCACGTGTTTGAGAGTTGACAGACGTGTTGATCTGGAAACATGGACGATGCCACATTCGTCAGATTAGATTTATGAGTTTGTAGCAAAACAGATCAAAACAATTTGATCCACAAACACAAAACACCGACGTTCGCTCTGACAGCGCGTGCACTCAGACATTTGTTTTTCTGACCGTTCAAACTTGACGGCCATGGTGGTGACGTCTCCGTCCATGACGGGCCGGTCGGGCTGGCTGCTGCTCTGCAGGGTGTCCCTCCTGGTCCGCAGCTGCTCCTGCGTCTGCTGGTAAAACTCCTGCAGCCCGTACGCCTCGCTGCAACACAACACCGCAGCTACATGACATCAGCACCTGACAGACGCTCTTATCAGACGCAGACATCAGACGCTCGTACCTGATTTCGGCGTTGGTCTGAGCCGCCTGCAGCTGCTTCCCCAGAGGAGACTCCACCTTGTCTCTCAGCATCTGACACAGACAGTATTTGGTGTTGAAGGCGTTGTTGTCGTAGCGGATCGCCTGTGAAACATAACGGCGGCAGACACAGTTAGCGTTCTGCTCTCTTCTGATCGTCTGCTGCTCCTCTCGATGGAACAACAGGAAGCTGCTGCGCAGAAGCTTCTCGTGTTATGATCGAGTGTCATTTACAAATTTAACAATGATCGATTATCAAATAAAAATCAATAATGATCAATAATTATAATAATTGATATCTGAAAACATATTTAAGAGATCTGAGCACGTTCCATCACCAGGTCTGTGATGACTCACATATCTGAGGTATTCCTCCATGACCCTCTCCACAGGAAGTGGTCCCTGGCTGACGAACACCGATGCGTTCCACATGGCAGCTCGAGCCAACATGACGGATGAGGCTCCGGTCGCCCTCCTGAACTCCTCGATGTCCGCGTTGGTCTTCACCAGGTCCAGAGAACCTCCGCTGCAGCAGAGACGAGACAGCGGCCGAAATTCACGTTAACAAACGACTTATATTTAAAGTTTTAAAACTAGTTCCTCCCTGAAGCTGAAAGAGCAGATGACAGAAATTAAACAATAAAAATAAAGCTGTCGTCTCACTCTGGAATAAAACCCGAAGCCGCAGAGGGACGGGCTGCAGATTATTTATTTCACAAACCTCAGAGTTAAAATGTGTCACAATTAACAGTTGATGTCAGAACCAGAAATAGACGAGTTGATGCTGCTCATCACAGCCGTGTTGAACTTACTTGGCGATGATGGGGATGGAAACAGCCTGAGCGACGGCCTGGATGTAATCACAATGGAGGGGATGTCTGGGACGCTCCTCCTTCAACCTGAACAGATCAGCAGAGTTTATATATCGTGCAACTCCAGACAAACACTTACAGATTTAAAGAAAACTAATATTAATATGTAATGTGTGACGAGCTCCTGATGAGGAGAAGTTGTTTACCGGCCGTGGACGGCAACAGCAGTGACGCCGGTCTTCTCGATCCTCTGAACCAGACGGATCGTTTCCTCCAACTGGAACCAGAGTTAGTCACGAGCATTTAAAAATACTTTGTGTGTCATTTTGCCTTTTAGTTTGAATTGTGGGTAAATTCAAGCTGCATCTTAATTTATTTCCTAGAGAAGAAAACCGACATGAGATGAGAGAGAGATTTCAAAACTTTAAAATACAACAGAGACAAAAATAAGTCTCAGCCAGTCGCTACCTTTAAATCAAAGATTTGATCTCAATGACTCTCGTGTTTTTACTCCTGTCTTTAATCTTTATTCTGAGTTTCCATTTTTTTAATTTTTTGTATGTCTGCTTACGTCTGTAACTTAAAAGGAAGAAATATAGAATAACATGTGTCGTCAGGACCTAAAGTGAAGATATGAAAGAAGAAGTGATGTGGGACGAGGAGCAGCAGGTTCTTCACGTCTTACCGAAGGCAGGATCCGAATTTTACACGTCACTGGTATGGACACGCCTGTGACCAGCTTCCTGAGGATCTGAGGATCAGAGACGGGAAAATTGAAGAATTGTCTCTTTTGTCGTTATGTGATATGATTGATATTTACGTGGCTAACGGACCGCCTCGATCTTGTCAGGGTCAGACAGAAGAGCAGCTCCCATCCCGCCCTGCAGGACAGCAGAGGTCAGAGGTCAGTGAGAGGTCAGTGAGAGGTCAGTGAGAGGTCAGAGCAGCAGCAGGTCGGAGGACAGATCGCTCACCTTAGTGGAGTATTCCTTCGGACAGCCCATATTCACATCAACGGCGGCCACGTCCTTCTCCCTGTGCGACAAGTTTCACAACTTCAGACAAGAAAATAATAACATCTGAATCATCTCTCACATTAAACAAGACATCTCGACCTCGATGATGATGATGATGATGATGATGATGATGATGTTTACAATCGTCTGCGTTTGTTTTGTTAGATTTACACGAAAATGATATTTTGGGACATTTTCCAATGAGCTCGACTGTTGTTGATGCAGCTCGAGCTTCTTCTCGTCCGTTCAACTTGTGTTTGTGTTTG